ACGATAACTTCAGAATGAGCTCAAGCGAAATAGTATCCTCACAGTCGTCCAGTGCTGCTATTTTGAAGGGCCACAAGGGAATTAAGGTACACTCCACGAGCAATTGTTCTGTCTTAGTAACCGTTTTTGAATATGGGGGAGGGGTGGGGGAGACGTCACCTTGGAGTCTAGGCNCCAGAAGTTGATGGAGCCTGAGTAGGTTGTGTTTCCGGAACGGGTGAACCAGTGGACGGAGGCACCTCAGGACCAGAAGTAGTTGGAGCCTGCGTAGATTGTGTTTCCGGGACTTGTGAAACTGTGGTCAAAGGTAGCTCGGAAGTGATCGCGGTTGAAGGCTGAGGGGGAGTCGTGTCCGAGACGGTCAAAGTACTTGTGGTGGGCATCTTGGTGCTGTTGTAAGTCGTTTGTCTTTCAGCAGAAGTTAATGTTGGAGGGGGCACCGGAGAACTTGGTGTTGATAGTAGACTCGTAATGGTGACTGTTGAACTGCTCGATGACGTAGCTATTGTGGCTGCCAGGAAGACGACGACTGTAGTCCCTGCAAATGGCATCCAATATCAATTAGTTCAAAATACATCACCAGTAAAATTTTCTTGAAACTACTTTCAGTCTAGAATCATAGCACGCCGAGCCGTCCCTGTATCTGAAATCGGCCACGGTCACAATTCTTTGGATTGTAACTCAGGCCAAAAACCTCAAATTCTAGTGAATTTTTTGGGACATCTTCTATATGTTATAAATAATATAAATTTTAGGGAAAATATTGCAATGATGGCTGAGAAATCTTTGTTTGAACTATGGAAACTGCTAACATCTAAGCTGCCGGAAGCATTGGATTGCTTCGAAAAAAGCTCTGTTCGAAGTCGACATATTTAATAAACTATGACCAAAGAAGAAGGGGAAAGATTCCATGTCTGTTCTGCGCAGTTTCCATTTCTGGAGCTCCATTTCTTGAATTCCCTCCAGCGCTACAAGCGTAGAAGAGATGTAGGAGCTTTTGCAGCACGAAAAGGTGGTGTTTCCCCAGAGTTCATGTCATTGGAGTTACAACCAAGAGGAGGAGGAGGAAAATCAAGATCATTAAGGAAGTATAACGTTGGTTCCTAAATGGCGTAGTGGACAACATCGACAACAAGAAACTCCGCGCGATGCTTCCGCGCTATGAAGCTGTTTTATATGAGAAGCTGTTTAACAACTTTAGCTTGTAGTTACACAATGAATCACAAAACAACTCGAACTACAAATCTGCAAAACTTACATGACGTGAACTTCCTTTTTCGAGGGCGACTCATCACGAATGGTTGCGTGGAAATGCTCGGCGATGCTTCCATAGGCGTCTTTAATACGCTCCTTATCAAATCGCTCCACAAATCAAACAAACTGCTTCGAACGCGAATATTCGTTTGATGACTGTACCGCTCTTTTTTTTTATTGAGGGCGCATGACGATAACTTCAGAATGAGCTCAAGCGAAATAGTATCCCCAGAGCTGCTATTTTGAAGGGCCACAAGGGAATTAAGGTACACTCTACGAGCAATTGTTTTGTCTTAGTAACCGTTTTTGAAGAGGGGGAGAGGTGGGGAGACATCACCTTGGGGTCTAGGCCTACCTACGGAAAAGCATTTTGCATTCTCCTAGAGAATGTAGTACCGAGATCAGTCGAGAGGTTGATACCGCTTATTTGTGAGCTGGATCGCACTATCGCACCATTCCATGAACCTAATACTCATTCAAACTTCACTAATACTTCCAGTTGAAATCAGATCCTATTCGAAACATTTTATCCCTGATCCTTCATCCCTTTATATGCTTGAATCTGATGGTAAAGCAACCTTCGAATGGTGAAGATAGTTCTATAGAAACTTTTTGAAGTCCGTTCCCTTTGATGAGTTAGTCGCAACCCCCGATCCTAGGCTTCTTTGATTTCCGAAACATTGGACAGCTTCTGCCCTTCGTCATATGGAAAAACTTTTTGTTGTGTAGCAGTTATGCTAGATTATGTTGTGGATTCGTGAGCTGCCACTCGTGCTCGTGGATTTATGAGCTGCCACGTGCAACCCACGAGTATCCAGCCACTTTTTGGAATATTTCGTTCATTTTCAAGTCTAATTAATTCCGTACCATATCAAGCCTTCCTTTGACTAGTTGTTACCAGTTGAACTAGAGCATCTTGATGCGTGCATGACGAATTTTTGAAAAAGAGCCATGATTTTTCAATCTTAACTCCTCCTACCAAGAGCACACCCTACCCACTTGAAGCATTGACCGCTCTTAATTCGACAACCTCTAAATACTTTTTTTCTGATCCCTAGAATATGTGTATGTAAACTATATGTATGTAGTATGTAAACTAAGCTGATTATTTCTTTCTATTTCTGATAGCATCTCCGGGAAAAAATGTCAATTCAGCTAGCTCACAGACAGTAGGCAGTAGGAAGGTAGGTAAACTGGGCACTCTATCGGGGAATCGTGGTCTTCTTTTACGAGATCATCACGTGCGATTGCTCCTTCAAAGGCGCAGTTCACAATGCAAATGGTAGCGGAAATTGTCTCATACCTGTAAGGGTGATCTTCTGCAACGTTATTAACAACTATTTAGCAGCGTCATATTTGCAACCTCATTTTCGTGGACGGAGACAAGGGAAGAAGGCGAGCATGACCAACAGTATCAAAAAGAAACTTAGTGAAGGCCCCCATCACAGCTCAACGGTCAAAAAATTGCTCATCACTGAAATTTGTTCACCGTTAGAAGTAGTTTACTCCTGTCACTGAGTCTGCAACGCCCGGAATTGTTTTTTTTTTCTCAACGGTAAGTAGAGGATGACAAGGGGTAATCAATTCAAAATTTTTACACAATGGATTCTGAGCGCTATTGCTATTATTTTTTTTATTTATGATACGCTCGCGCTTGTCTGTTACTAAGTTTGGTAGAGCCTGAAGGAGCATTTGGAAAGAGCTGGTCGAGTTCAGTATGGTTGTGTTATGTACATACAGGACATACGGTGCCAAAAGCAAAACTTCCCGATTCGGTTTAAGAAAATTTCATACATTGAGAAAAAAAAATTTTGAGCAGGGTCAGGAAATGAGTCAATAAATAAGTGAAGGATTTTTGATGTCTGATGCGCCCTCAAAATAGGCGGTACTCACCGTATTGTTAAATAGCCCAATTCACTGAGCCAGGAAGCGAGAAAAGAAGCTAGAATAAAGCAACATCTGAGCTGTACTAGCATGCTGAGACTAGAGAGTTTAAGAGAGGGTACAGGTGCGTTAGGGTGAGCGAAGTAAAGGTCAAAATTCACAACTCGTAACGCGTAATCATTACACACTAACTATTTAGAACAAATTCGAGACATTTCAATCTTCTGCGAAATTCTGTTAAATCGCCTCAGAAATTTGTGCCATTTTTTGAATTTGGGAAAATTTCCTTTATTGCGTTCAGGTTATGGGAGAACCGAAATCCGTGATGCGGAATCTTGCTGAGATATTGACTAAGTCCGTCTGAGCAGCGGATATCCTCTAAAGAAAGACGGATGGCAAATTTTACCCTTCGTCATGCTATGCTGTATGAGTTCGAATTGGGCCACAACGCAGCCTAAGCCACCTACATTATCTGCTCCGCGTTAGGTCCTGATGTTGTTTCCCGTAGCACGATGGCAGAATGGTACGAGCGATTTGGAGTACCTCGCCAGGATGGTCATCAGCCCTGGATTTGAATCGACTACAACTCTGATCGAATTCTAACAAAGCGAATAGCCCTCTTCCAATGACACTCGATTGCTCTGACAGTTTGATCAGGAGAGGTTGGCGCTCCTTCAGAAAAGACTTGAAGCCCGACTTTTGGATTCCTAATGAGTTTGCCATTCTAAAAAAACGCGCAAGGAGTACTGTATGCAGCTTCTCTCGATCTCCCGCCAAACGGAGTGGTTGAACAACGTGATTACTGGAGATGAGGGGTGTTGCCCATACGTGAATTACAGGCGGAGGTATCAGACCCTGAATCGGCTGTGGGATCATATCTGCTCAGTTAGAGGAGTCTGATGAGGTGTTCGCGGGGCAAATCACTGGGAGCCCTTCCTTCCTAACGCCAAGATTACGAGCGAGGTTTACTAGAGTCAGCTTCGAACTATAGCGGAGAAGATCCAACTAATCTTTCCGAAATTCGACAAAGATGACCTATTCCAAGACATCGCGAAACTGCATACCCCTGAGACGACGCAGATCGAGATCCTGAGATCCGGTCGGGAAATCCTGCCAACTGCTCGTACAGCCCGATCTATCCTTGGCAACTACCGGTTCTTGTACATCAGAAGCCATCTTACAAGCGCGAAGAATTCTCAAAAATTACCTGACTCTCTTTTTCAACCCGAAACAGCAGGACTTCTGGAGCCGAGGGTTGTTAATAGTGATGGTACTTATGCTAACCGTTTATAATGCTTTTTTTCTTGAAATAAAGTTGAAAAAAACTGACACGAACTTTTGAGGCAACCTAACACATTCTTGAGAACCAAGTGTAGAGGTCGACTTAAGCAGAGCTTCCACTCGGGGCAGAACACATGCATCGGAATGGGCAAGGCAGGGACAAAAATCCTAATATTGTTTTTAACACCCCCAAACATTGGAAAAAATGAGCATAAGCGAAGACTGACTCACGGA